GTAGTAGTAGTAGTAGTAGTAGTAGTGGTAGAAGTGGTAGTAGTCGTAGTAGTGGTAGTAGTAGTAGTAGTAGTAGTAGTAGTAGTAGTAGTAGTAGTAGTAGTAGTAGTAGTCGTAGTAGTAGTAGTAGTAGTAGTAGTAGTAGTAGTAGTAGTAGTAGTAGTCGTAGTAGGAGTAGTAGCAGTAGTCGTAGTCGTAGAAGTCGTGGTGGTGGTGGTGGTAGTACTGATATTGTTACTACTAGTAAGGTTGGCTCGGCTCGGGTGGTGCGAAATGATTTGGTGCTTTGGTTAAACATCTATCGATCAGATGCATGCGGTTCAATCGCGTGAACACCGTTCGCGCACGTGAACATCATTCATGCAAGAGCATGCTTTGTGCGTGTGTATGCATAAGAAATGGTATACGAGTACATATATGCGTCGTACTCGGAGATATGCATGTTTGTGTATTTGCTTCTAGAAGGCCTCCAAGAGGCTTCTCGGAAGCCTCCCTTTCACCAGTTTATATACCATCGATACGTGTTTACAAATTGACCCCTCTCCCCCCCCCTAGAATGGCATTTGGACTTCAGGGAAGGGGGACAGGGGGAAAATGTCTCACGCGCCTTATCTCACCTCCGGCAAGCGGGGCTCGGCAGATTTTCCGTTCAAAAAAGAAGGCTCTACCACCCTCTCCCCCTGGGTTTGTTGACACTCCCTGGTACATTGCAAACTGCAGATGATTTTCCCTTTCTCGCTCATGTCCCATATGATTCCATACCATCCCAGCTAGGCCGGCATCGCCTCCCCTCACCTTTGTCAAGCAATCTTGCGCCCGCGCATTCGTTTATCGCAACATGGTGCGTCTTCGCAGGAAGAATTACACAACGCTTCAGCCTACACATCAAGTGCCCTTAGGCTTGCAGTAGAAGCGTTGCAAACTTTCGGCCCGCGCGCACTTGCTGAAATCATAGGAAAGCCATACTATGATTTGAGCGATATGATCCAGAACTTCCGAAACCATGGTTTTCTAAGCATTTCAATTCAGAGTTCTTCAGAACCATATGAAGCAATCAAATGCTTGCACACCTAAAACAGGTGCCAGGCTTTTTGGATTTCCGCGCGCGCGCACTCCGCCGCACCACGTTATCGTCAAAGACAATCGCCGCCATTGCCGCCATCATCACCCAAGTACCTTCATCACCGACGCACCGTCATTGCCAGCAGTGGGGCCATCATTGGCCTTGCCGTCGTCTTCGTCGGAAACGCCAACGCCATCACTACTACTACCGCGTCTGCCGCCGTGGTCAATGTCTTCGTGATACTGCGCCCGCCCGAGTAACCGACCAGCATTGAATCGCACGCGCGCCATCGCGCCCTTCGAGACGCGGCAGGCGTCATCGCGGCCGCGTGGGGCGCGCCAAACCAGTTGGCTGCTTTGCGCGCGAACTTGCGCGCGCGAGCGCGGCCGCAGAGATGGGCCAGCCAGAGCCGAGGAGTCACTGCAATCGCGGCCGCATGGGTTGTGCAAAACAAGTTCCGGATGGAAAGGTAGGGCGGTTGCGCGGGCAGTGGGACTGACGACGGTGGATTGCAAGCCATAGGTTGCAATCCATGCATTGCGTTGCAGAGGTTTTGCAATTTCGGAATATTTTTTGTTAGTGTTCCGCGTGCGCGGGGATCAGGCGATCGGCAGAAGCATCCGGAATCGAGGGTGCGAACATGTAGTGGCCCCACTTGGATATCGATTTAGGTTTGTGTTATGCGTGACGCACGTGCGGGCGAGATTTCGATTCGCGTCGTGCGCGCCGCGCGTGCGGGCGAGGGAAAGCTGCTCGGGCGGGCGCGCGTCGTTGCTTCCACTGCTGTCCGACAACGACTTCTGTAGTGGTTGTGTGTCCGCCAGTGGCTGGGGTTGTCCCTTGATTGTCCCGTGGCTGTCCCGTGGCTGTCCGTCGTGGCAGGTTTTTTCGTGGTTAGCCAGTTTCGGGGGGGAGTCGGGCGTGGTTGTCCCGTGACTGTCCCCATGTGGACTCTTTTCTGGGGGGTCTTTGGTTTTTTCCCATCCATCCTGTTTTGGGTCCTCGTTTTGAAAAGGCAGCACCACTCGTCCACCTCTCCTCTCCTTCTTCCTCCCCCTCCTCCCTGCTCCTCCTCCTCCTCCTCCTCATCATCATCAGCATCAGCATCGGCATCGGCATCGGCATCATCATCATCGTCATCATCATCATCATCATCATCATCATCATCATCATCATCATCATCATCATCATCATCATCATCATCGTCATCGTCATCGTCATCATCATCATCATCATCATCATCATCATCATCATCATCATCATCATCATCATCATCATCATCATCATCATCATCATCATCATCATCATCATCGTCATCATCGTCATCATCATCACCATCATCATCATCATCATCACCCGCAGCCGTATTGGCTCAAGCTGTTTCTCCAGTCTCTTGCAGGCGCCCACGCGCAGCGGACAGCGGCGCGCGATTGGGAGATGAGCAATGGCGACGAGGGGCCGCCCGCAGACGCGACGGCGGGGCGGCCCACCAGGCGCGGCAGTGCGCTGCGCAGGAAGGAGGAGGCCGAGGTAGGCGCCTCGGCGGCCCGCCGACGGGCGCGGGCACGGCGCCTCCTCGCGGCCGCGGCGGCAGTCGGCAAGGCGGCCAGCGGCGGCCCAGGTTCCTGGCAGGATCGCGAGGCTGCTGCGCGCCCCGCCTTGCGCCGAGCCGCCGCGGGACGCCGCGTCCCAGGCGCAATGCGGCGACGGCGGAACGCCGCGTGGCGCGCGCTGCTGGCCCCTGCTGGCGGATTCGCGCGAGCGCCCGCAGCGGGCTTATCGCGGGCCGCCGCAGGCCCCCGCATGGGCTGGCTGCCCGCGGCCACAGATGGAGGGCGGCGCGCGGCGGCAACGCGCCCCCACACCGTGCGTTTCGCGGGCCAGGTCGTCGCCGCTGCGGCGGACGGCAGCGCCCAGACGGAGCCCCTGGGCGGCAGGCCGCGCGAGCGGCCGCCCAAGAATCACCTCGGTCACCTGCGGCGGGGCTTGCGCCAGCGGTTCGAGGAAGCGCAGCGGCCCGCGCTCCCGCCCGCCCCCGCCCCGTTGGTCCCGCTGCCCGAGGTGCCCAAAATGCGGATCGCAGGCGTGCTATCCCTCCCCGACAGGCTGCGGCTGTGCCAAGCCTCCTGTGGGATCGCCTGGAACCTCGAGAGCAGCCCCTGTCGGCTCGCGGAGGCGCCGGAAGTGGATCTGCGGGGCGCGGCGCTCCTGCAGCAGCTGGAGGGCGCCAGGCCGCACAGGGGCGCGAATGCCGACGTGGACCCGGGCCTCGGTCTCGGCTCTGGCTACCAGCTGGCCATGCTGCGGGAAAAGTTGCACCATTCCGCGTCGAACTGCACCCAGTGCGGGGCTCTGGTCACGAAGCAGACCCCGGACATCCGCCCCCTACAGGAAGGCTGGGCTGCTGCGGAACATGCGCTGCGGGACCAGCTCGCCGCGCTCTGGGGGCAGCTGCAGGCGCGCGTCGCGAGGTGCACGGATTTGCCTGCGGCCGTGGGCGAGCACAACGACGACGCACCTGACGGCTCGCTCTCGCCCCTCGTGGTGGAGGATCGAGGCGATGATTGCGAGTTAGCCAACGGGTTCAACGCCTTCGATGTCCTCCTCGAGGGCGCTGTGGGCCTCAGGGCCTTGCCCGCCCTGCCCGCTCTCACCGACGGCCCGCTCGGCTTCGGGGCGCCCGCTTGGCTGCGGGGCGGCAAGGGCTCCGCCGACATGCCCCGTTCCCGAGGAGCTCGAGGGCGATATGGCGACTGCGGTTCCCGAGGGCCCCGCGGCGCCAGGAGCCCACGTGGGCGAGATCGAGTGGGGCGACCTGCAGGCGATCATCCCGCAGCGCTGCGCAGAGGAGAGGAGTCTCGTAGCTCTCCGAGGCGTTGGCCCTGCTGCTGCGGGCGACACCACTGCCCCTGCAGGAACAGACGGCGACGGGTTCGGCGACGTCGGCGGCCGATCCGCCCCCTGCGGCGGCGATGGCGTCGGCGTAGGCTTCTTGTCTGCAGGCGAGCTCCTGGAGGCGGCGGCCGCCTCGCGGCTGGCCCCCGCCGCGGCCGGCCCCCTCCCCGGGGCCCCGCTCGAGGCGCCCCAGGCCTTAGGCGCTCAGAAGTCCAATGCGGCAATTTGCTCGCCAGTTGCTGCCGCTTCCTATTCATAATGCCCTACGGGGCTTCTCGCTAGCCCTGCCGCCAGCCCTGCTCAACGTTGCCCCGCGCGCTGCGGCTCGGGGCCCATCGGTCCGTCGAGTGCGGTGTCGTTCGGGCGGGAAGGGACCTTGTGGTGTAGACGCAGCCCCTGGCGGACTCCGCGCGCTCCCTGGCCCCCTTCCCGCCGCCTCTGCTCGCGGCGCCAGGCGGGCCCGAGGATCACGAATGCCTGCGACGAGCGCGCTTGCCCTCGGATGGGGGAGGGGCTCCGCGGCGCAGGCTGTACCCTGCGGGCTCGGCGCGCGTCAGGGTTCACCCCCCCCCCGCCACTCTCGGGCTCGCCGTGTATTTGTTTCGCTGCTTGTCCGCGCTTCCGAGGCTGACAAGCGGGGGGCGAACCGTGGGCGCAGGAGAATGCTGACGCTTAGGATCGAACTCCGCAGGCGTTGGATGAGCTACAGTGTCTGCGTGGCCGTGGGCCTTGGACTGCGTTGCTCTTCCGACGTTCGCTCGATGCTGCTTGGCTCGGGCTGTGCACCTGCCTGCAGCTCTTTCAGGTTAGCAGCTCTAGCTGCGTACCAGCCCGCTCGATCGCGCTGCTGTTCTCGCCGCTCGCGGAGGCAGGGCCGCGGGGGTAGGTGCTTGCTCCGACCCTCGGGATCGCCTCCGCGCGCCTCGGCAGAGCAACGGTGTCCGCCCTGGGCCATGAGCCACAAGAGGACTATGTTGCCCTGCTGGCGCGTGCGTGCCGCCGTTGTGGGCTGAGTCGCCGCGACTGCTCGGATGCCGCGTCAACCGCTTGCTTTGGCCGAGGCGGGGGGCGGCCTCCTGGCACTCAGGTGAATCTGCGCGGGTGCCTTGGGCGCGAGACCGAGCGTTGCCGCCGCAGGGCCAAAGGGAAACGGCTCGGTCCGAGGGGCAGTGCGAGCTAGGAGCTCCTGACCTCTTCAGACGCGGGGATCATCATCATCTTCACCATCATCCCTGTCATTATCATTACCATCATCACCCTCATCATCCTCGTCATCGCCAAACCCGCCACCGCCAGCATACTCACCATCGTCATCACCATTACGGCCGTCATGATCCCCATCATCGTCATCATTCCCCGCCCATTCCTGCACGCTCTCACGCGGTTCGTGGGCCCATAGTGAGCTCCACCGAAGGCCCCAGTGGCAGGGTGCGCATGCAGTTCCACCTTCATTTCGGCGCACCCATCACACGGTTCGTGGCCCTGTAGGGAGCTTCGCCGAAGGCCTCAGTGGCAGCGTCGCATGCAGCCTTCATCCCGGCGCACCCCTCACACGGTTCGTGGGCCCAGCGGGAGCCCCACCGACGGCTTCAATGGCAGGGTCCGCATGCAGTTCCACCCTCATCTCGGCGCATCACTCACACGGTTCGTGACCCCATGGGGGGCTCCACCGACTGCCCCAGTGGCAGGGTTCGCATGCAGTTCCACCCCCATGTCGGCGCACCCCTCAAACGGTTCGTGGCCCCATAGACAGCGCCATCGAAGGCCCCAGTGGCAGGGTCTGCATGCAGTTCCTCCTTCATTTCGGCGCACGTTTCAAAGGGTTCGTGGCCCTTCGTGGGGGCTCCGACGGTCACAGCGGCAGGGTTCGCATGCAGTTCCACCTTTATTTCGGCGTACCCCTCACACGGCTCGGGCCCCTTAGGAAGTTCCACTGAATGGTTCGGTGGCAGGGTTCGCATGCAGCTCCAGCCCCCCCATTTCGGCGCACCCCTCACACGGTTCGTGGCCCCATCGGGAGCTCCACCGAATGTTTAGTGGCAGGGTTCGTACGCAGTTCCACCATCACTCCAGAGCACCCCTCACACGGTCCGTGGGCCCGTATGGGAGCTCCACCGAAGGCCCCAGAGGCAGGGTTCGCATGCAGTTGCGCCCCCAGTTCGGTGTCGCGCGGTCCGTGGCCCCATAGGACGTTTTACCGAAGGCCCCAGTGGCAGGGTTCGCATGCAGTTCCACCTTCATTTCGGCGCACCCCTCACACGGCTCGTGGCCTCACAGAGAGTTCCACCGCAGGGTTCGCATGACGTTCCACCCCAATTTCGTCGCACCGTTCACACGGCTCGGGAGTTCCACCGAAGGCCTCAATGGCAGGGTTCGCATGCAGTTCCACTTTCATGCCGCCGCACCCCTCACACGTTTTGTCGCACCACAGGGAGTTCCACTGAAGGCCTCAGTGGCATGGTTTGCATGCAGTTCTACCCCCACTTCGGCGCACCCCTCACACGGCTCGTGGCCCCATAGGGAGTTCCACCAAAGGTTCCAGTGGGAGGGTTCGCATGGCACCACCGCGTGCAATCCAGCGCACCCTTCACACGCTTTGTGGCACCACAGGGAGTTCCGCCGAAGTTTCCAGTGGTAGGGTTCGCATGGCACCACCGCGCCCACTTTGGTACACCACCTCACACGCCTCGTGGCCCCAGAGGATGCTCTACCGAAGGCTCCAGTAGGAGGGTTCGCATGGCACCACCACCACGCCCAATTCGGCACGGCCCTCTCACGGTTCGTGGTCCCATAAGGGGTTCCATCGAACGCGATACCCACAATGCGGTGTTCACAGTTGCGTATGGGTGAGTTTTCGTCAGGCTAATTCACAACCGTCCTGTGGTGTTGGGTCTTCGTTTTGAAGAGAGCGCCCCGCGTTCCTCATTCCTCCCTCCTCCTCCCTCCTCCCTCTCCATGCATCTGTCCTCCTTGTCGCCATGTGCATCATCATCATCATCATCATCATCATCATCATCATCATCATCATCATCATCATCATCATCATCATCATCATCATCGTCATCGTCATCGTCATCGTCATCGTCATCGTCATCGTCATCCTCCTCCTCATCACCATCACCACCACTATAATCATCATCATCAGCATCAGCATCGTCGTCATCGTCATCATCATCATCATCGTCACCGTCGTCGTCGTCGTCATCGTCATCGTCATCAGCTTCATCAGCACCATCATCAGCATCATCATAACCATCATCATCGTCATCATCATCATCAGCACCATCATCGTCATCATCATCATCATCATGATCATTATGAGTATCACCACCATCACCACCATTATCAGCATCAACAGCATCATCATCAGCAACAGCATCATCATCAGCATCGTCATCATCACCACCATCATCATAATCATCAGCATCATCATCATCAGCATCATCATCATCAGCATCAGCATCAGCATCAGCACCATCATCATTGTCTAAATCGTCATCATCATCATCATCATCATCATCATCATCATCATCGTCATCATCATCATGGCACACCCCTCGTTCGTTCTGTGGCCCCATAGTGAGCCCCACCGAACGCACACCTCACACGATTCGTGGCCCAGAGGGAGCTCCTCCTAAGTCCCCAGTGGGAAAGTTCGCATGCAGTTCCAGCCCCCCGTTTCGGCGCACCTCTCACACGGTTCGTGGCCTCATAGGGAGCCCCACCAAAGGCCCCAGTGGGAAATTTTGCATGCAGTTCCACTACCCATTTCGGCGCACCCTTCACATGTCTTGTGGCCCCATAGGGAGCTTCACCGAAGGCCCCAGTGTGAAAGGTCGCATGCAGTTCCACCCCCCATGCCGGCATACCCCTCACACGGTTCGTGGCCCCGCACCAGTGGGAAAGTTCGCATGCAATCCACCCCCATGTCGGCGTACCTTTCACACGGTTCGTGGCCCCATAGGGAGCCCCACCGAAAGCCCCAGTGGGAACGTTCGCATGCAGTTCCACCCTCCATTTCGGCGCACCCCTCATACGGTTCGTGGCCCCATCGGGAGCTCCACCGAAGGCCCCAGTGGGAATGTTCGCATGCAGTTGCACCACGCGTTTCGGCGCACCCCTCATACGGTTCGTCGCCCCATAGGGAGCTCCACCGAAGGCCCCAGAGGAAAAGTCCGCATTCAGTTCCGCCATCAGTTCGGCGCACCTTTCACACGTTTCGTTGCCCCATAGGGAGCTCTTCCGAAGGCCCCAGTTGCAGGGTCCGCATGCGGTTCCACCCCCCATGTCGTGCACCCATCACACGGTTCGTGGCCCCACAGGGAGCTCCACAGAAGGCCCTAGTGGCAGGGTTCGCATGCGGTTCCACCTTTGATTTCGGCGCTTACACGCTTCGTGTCCCCATAGGGGGCTCCACCGAAGGCCCCAGTGGCAAGGTTCGGATGCGGTTCGACCACTCATTTTGTCAAACGTGGTAAAGCCCGCAACAGGACGGGACGCGCTAGTCTGAGCCCCTTCTGGGCCCGAAGCCGCCGAAACCACGAAACTGGCGACCCCAAAACGTCAAAAGATGTGTTCATCCTTCTTTCTCCTCCGACTGCCCGTCCCTTGGCCCTTGCCCAGTCGTTTTATGGAGGAGGCGTGTAAAACCCCTACTCCCGATCAGAGTGGATGTTCTGCCTCAGGCTTTCGCCCCTTGCCCACTCTCCCTCTATATGATTTCCGAGTGGGAGAGGAGCAAGAGGAGGAGACAGCAGAGAAGGGAAGCACTGAGGGTCAGAAAGGGCGGCGCCACCCTCCAGTCCGGGCCGGGCCCCTGGCTCGCCTGGCCCTGGGCCCTCGGTGGAGCTCCCTATGGGGCCACGAGACGTGTGAGGGGTGTGCCGAAACGGGCGCGGTGGTGCCATGCGAGCGCAGCCACTTGGGCCTTCGGTGGAGCTCCCTATGGGGCCACGAAACGTGTGAGGGGTGGGCCGAAATCGACATGCGGGGTGGTCCTCGGTGCCGAAATTGGCGCCGCGGCGCCGTGCGAACCCTGTCACTGGGGCCTGCGGTGGAGCTCCCGATGGGGCCGCGGTCCTCGTGAGGGGTGTGCCGAAAGTGGTGCGGCGGTGCCGTGCTGTGTGCGTGGTGCGTGCGTGTGTGAGTGCGTGTGTGTGTGTGTGTGTGTGTGTGTGCGTGTGTGTGTGTGTG